GAGGGGAAGTCAAGGCAAATGGCAAAAGCCAAAGAACGAGAAAAATGCGAAGAACACACACACACACACACACACACACACACACGTTTACACCTTTTTCTTCTTTTTTAATTTTTTATTTTCGGAGAAAAAGTCAAAACAACAACAGTCTTACAAGCAAATGTTCCAAAGCGCCGTCAAGCTTGTGTCCGTACCAACGTGGACTGCCCCTTTGCCTGGCATGACAGCTCGCCTCTTCCAAGGCGCTGTAAAACTGGGGCTTGAACGTACAACGTGTACTGCCTCGATGCTTGCCATGACGTTACAAGCCCGTTTGGCTAACTGCCTCTCCAGTCATATCAATCTTATCCCCCGCCCGGATGCGAGCGACCATTCCTGACGGCGAGCGAGCCGGATTTAAGCTCATGGCAACGCGTCAACGAAAAGTTGGTCAGACGAGTGCGAGGCGCGCGCCCAATGACTGTGCTTCATGTCCTTCTTCTTGCTTTTTTTTTTTTTTTTTTTTTTCACTTGCGCCTGGTTTCTGCTCCTCGGGCGAGGTGGAGTGTCGTGGCATCATCATCATCATCATCAGCATGAGCCGTTCAGGCAATCATTGGAGCACTCTGTCGACGCCCGTTGGTCTCGAAGAATTTTTTGGCAATCCTGAGTTTCATCACTGCTTCCAACACACGGTTGAGGTACGCCGTGATACCTCAACGACTCGAGACGCAGTCGAGACGAAACCTTTTTCCAGGGGTTTCGGGGACGTTTGTCGGGAAGGAGCAAGACATTTTTTGCTGTCTGCAGGTCAATTCTACCAGCTGCGGTTGGAACGTATTCACAATGACCAGACCAGGTGCACCGTTGAAATAGCTGCGGAATCGCTCTCGGTTCCAAGGACAGGAAAAGTGCGACGCGTGTCCAAGCGCAGGTATCACAGCAAGAAGAGACGACGGTAGTCAAAGACGGAGTGGGCATGGCAGTCTGCCAGGATATTGCAAAAGTACTTGAAACACGCACTTGTGAGCCTTCCCACATTCAAAGGATGTGCGTGGATGCGCAAGCAAAGTCAAACCACCTTTGGGCATTCCCAACGAGGAGGCCTTGTGGTGAACGACGCTGGATGTGTGTAAAAGCAGTACAAGTGCCTGGGAGAGCAGGTTTGACTGCACGACAAAGGATCTCAACGAAAACATCTAGGCAGTGTAGTAGACGACTAGTTCGGGGTAAATCTGGGCGTTGTCGAACATTATCACCTCGCGAAACGTAACTTGCGGTGTAGCAATGACAGAATCAAATCTGCAAGACAACCAAACATGAGTCCCATCAAGCTGTGAGACAGGACTCGAATCTTGATTGACATACCGCTCGTTGTTGGGTGCATCGGGCAGCAGCGGGGGAGCCAGCGCCCCGAAAGGAGGCGAAGGATGGACATAGGCACGGCCCAACAGGGCCCGCGTAATAATGAGCATACGCTCGCCGTTTGCTCCGGGCGTCGCATATTGGTGACTCTACACTCAGGTTCAAGTCGACACACAGCGCCAAAAAAACAATGTAAGGACACGCACGTAATCACCCTGCAAACCCACGGTTCCACCACACCTTGCCGGGATGATCGGCCAAGTAAACACCAAGTCCATACTTGTGGCCTGAGCTGCGACCAGCGAAACGATAGTCAAAGCCCAGGCGCACAATCTTGTCGCGCAACATTGTGTCAGGGGCGATGCCGTGAAGCAACAAGCGCTCTTGACAGGGTGTATTTCGAAGCAAAGCTGGACAGCCCGAGAGCGCATCTACTGTGGCCGTATGAAGTTGATCATAGTGCTCCTGACTTGTAATGCGGTGCAGCATCTCCCATCGCTTGGCGCTGTACCGTTCCCACAGCACGGGGTTCTGCACACGCTCCACCCGCCGCACTGCAATGTTGCTTGGCCCTCGCCCGTCAGCACTCAGCTGCTGTAGCAGCTCAACCACCTTGGTACATAATGGGGTCAAATCAATCGGCTTGTCAAGACAAAAATAAATGAAAATATGACTGTCGGCAAGCAACGCACCTCTGGGATGAGCTCAGGTGCGTCGAGCAAAACGTCGATAGCTGGCCCAACAGCTTGAGTCGTGACAGGTCGCTGCACTCTTTGTCCGGCGCTGAAGAGACTTGGCCGCTGCTTTGGATCTGTTGCAAGCAAGGCCCGTGTTTCCTTGTACAACTCGCTCGTCGAATTGCACATCTGCAGCAAAGGTCAGCAAAGCAAATCACAATCAAAGCGGTGCTCAGTTGTCGCTCAAGGGATATTGCGATATTACTCACCTCAGCCGCCAAGTGCGGAAAACTGCATTCTGCACCTCCTGCCCCTGCATCCCATCTGCATTGATCGGCAAGCTGGTCCGTGGGTAAACGAGCAGGTGGCACCGTCTGTGGAAACATGTAGGTGTTGTATAGCACACAGCCAAAGGAAAAGGCATCCTGTGCCGAACGCGCCCCCACTCGACCCTGGCCGAAAAGCACCTCCGGTGCTACATAGCCTGCCGTGCCCGACGATGCAGTGGCTGTGCATGGTAGCATAGTGGCTTCGGCAGCCGCCTTGGTAATGTCGAAATCGCCGAGCCGCACAACAGGTTGGTCCTCGTCACCGTCCAGCATCACATTGCTCAGCTTGACATCCCGATGCACCAGGCCCTTGCTATGCATAAACGCCAGGGCCATGCGCAGCTGCGTCATCAAACTCGCAACGACGGTCGAGGTGGCCAGATGCCGCGCCTTGCCGAGCCACTGCTGCAGATCCCCCTGTGTACACCACGGCTGCACCAGATAGGCGCTTGGGTGGCCATCATGCACGCCCACAAGCGCACCGAGGACTGGAACGATGTTTGGATGCTCAAGCTGGCGCATGGCGCGCAGTTCGCGGAGAAACGTACGACACTGATTTTGCTTGTGTTGCTGGGCAAATGCATACTCCTTGACAGCCAAATCCTGTTCTTGCTCAGGCCGATTTGGCAGCGCTGCACGAGCTTTGTACACCTTGTGGTTTTGGTTGTAGTGGAGCTCAAGCTGACCCAGGCAGGAGAGCGTCAACACTTGGTCCACTTCGGCCATGGCCTCCAAGATCAGACTGGCTGGAAGGTCGGGGCCAAGTACTTTGCGGAGTTGTACACCCAATGCACTGTGCTCAGGGTGCAAAAAGATCAAGAGGTCCGGAAAGTGTTGGTGCAGTAGCTCTGCCAGTGCTGCCACCTGGTCCACCTGTGCTCCTTCGATAGCTGCTGCTGCAACGTCGAAAGTCGTTCCTTCTCTTCATCCAGGTTGGCTTGTATACCAGCTCGCATGTCGTCTGACACAAAAGCCAAGAATGCTGTGGTTGCCTGAATTTTCTTTTGCAGCTCGGCCACCTCCTCATGAATGGATACAACTTGATCTGCGCTGCTCTGCGTGATGCTGCTTGCATATTCTTTGCATGCAGTCACCACGGACAGCGTCTTGGCCTGCCAGTCGATCATATCGTGCAGCTGCTGCAACAGGGCTTGCGACCCGTGCAGCACAAACGTCAGGTACCAGTCCTGATGCTCATAATCGTGTTCTGCTCTCCAGTCTGCGAGCTGCTCCAGCCCATTCTGTTTGGGCGAGCTGAGGTGTTCGTGAGCCTGGCACAGCCGCTCCCACGCCTCGGGTAACGACTTGGCCGAAAGTGGTGCGCTCACATCCGAGCATTGTGCGCGTTGCCGTAACGTGTCCACGCGATGCATTGTGTCAGTGTCGGTGGTACCCGCCCTTGCCACGGCGTCCAGAGCATCAATCAATGCCAGCACCCGCCGCTTGATATTGGTATCAGTGCTGGTAAGCCGTTCTTGGCGCTCGGGTTCCACATTGTGCAGCATGACGAGTTTGCCCAGAGCTGCTGCAAAGTCGGTGGGTGGCGTCTCAAACGCAGTCGTGGGCGCGGTGGCTGGAGCGGGACATTTTGCCAAGATGTTCTGGAGTTCAAGATATACTGGTTGGAGCTCAATCTGCTCTGTTAGACTTTGCATCTTTTCAAGTACCGATTCTAGATTGTCAATGTTGGGGTCCAGCTGGCTGAGGCAGCCCTGTAGCGCTTCGGGAACTTGCACTGCTTGGTCGAGGACGCCGAGGGCGCGGGTGATGGTCGCTTTGAAGGCAGGCCAGTTCAAGGCAGGAAACTCTGGTGGAGCTTCATCGATGGTGTTCTGGATCTTCGTAACCATTGCTGCGAGATTAGAGTTTCGCTTGATGGCACCGCTGATAAAGGCATCGAGGTGCGGGAGGGGGTGAGTGGTGGATTGCTCGGGCAGGAGCGGTCTGAGCCAGCCTTCCACCGACACCACAACAGCGGCCGTCGTCTATAGGGGGATGTGGTTGAGGGGAGGTTGAGATAGGGATGG